AAAATTTACAGTGAATGTTATCTTTTACTTCGTAATAAAGTCACACCTCACAATTTGTGCAGAAGTACACACTGTTTAACAGTATATTGAACTATTTCATTCACAGTGATATCCAGTACTTAACATAATATTTGACCTCACTGCAGCCTTATTGCACTCAGTTATAATTACTACTAAACACACTCTTCAACACTACTATAGTCTTATAAATTAAAAGGTGAAATCAAAACTGAATGTCTACTTATCTGAACAGTTTCATCAACATTTATTTATAAGATTTGGCCTGAGTTATTCTAAGCTCTTATCTGGATGAATTGGTAGTGTTCAGCCAAAGGTAGGCTGTTATAGGTTTGTAGTCAGGAAATGACAGAAGTACGTAACTTAGCATGAAGACACATTGTGATAGTGATGGTTTTTAAACTACAGGCATTTTTAACATTGTATTAAAATGTTTTGATTTTGCTTGCAGTGAAATTAGGTGATTTTAGGGTACAGTTGCTTTTGTTTTTGGCTGATGCCTAAAACTGTCAAAAAATTATTCCTACTTTTCATATATTTATTTGTTGCAGCAGTTTTAAACTTGGTAAAATGGCCCTATGTTTTTATCATGCATATTTCTGTAATGTGATGAAACAGTAGAGTTTACTTTCAAAGCTTTTATTTCTGTGTCCTTTCTTTATTTTATTTCTGTTTCTTCTGTCTTATTTATTTGTTTTAAATTTTCTTTCTTACAAACCGGAATGTCTTAATTGCGCAGGATTCAGACATTCAGTTTGCTTTCTTATCTTTGAAAGGGAACCTTAAAGAGCATTTATCTTAGGGCCTAGTGAGACTTTGGTTGATCCCTTCCTGGAAATGGATCCTGAACAGCTGGAGAGGCTGGAGACAGCTTTGCAGTCTGAGCAGGCCAAGCAGATTCTTGGTGAAAATGTTACAGCCATGCTAGGTAAGGGTGAGTTATGTCTCGGTCTTATTTCCCTATTAAAATATAACAGAGGCATGAACTGGGTAATTGATGGCAGATGACTATCATTATAACTATGCCATGTTTTATGCGATACTTTTGTTTGTGGAAAAAAGCTGTGTAATGTGAAAACATGGATCAGAGATGTTAATGAAAGATCTGTTGGACTGCATGTGTTAGTGTACTTGTAGTATTTGCATTTGGGGATAAGCTGCATCATTTGTTAAAGGCTTGCCAACATTTTTTAAATGTTGCTTTTGTCATCTTTAGGCTTATTGTCAGAAACCAATGTTATACGTTAAATTTTAGTTGCACAAATTTTATGTTAAGTTCCATAGGATGCTGTGGATGTGCACAAGCCTCTGTGTGGAAAGCTAGGAGTTGTGACCTCAGAAATGAGTCAGAATGAGCTGTATATCTGTAGGGTGCAGTTTGTAAATGGAGAATGACCATAAAATTAAAAATACACACTATAGTGACTGGCTAGGACTGGATGACTGGGTTTCATCCCCGATTGGGGCAGAAGATTATTTCCTCTAGCCTCTACAACTAGACTGGCTCTGGGGCCCACCCAGCCTCATATCCAATGGGTACTACTGTCCTTTCTTGGGGAAAGCACAGCAGGGGCATGACACTGACCACTCACCCCCATCTAGTGCCAAGGTTAAGAATGAGTAGGCGCTATACCTCCTCTTCCTCCAAGCACATACATCACATATATTGGGACAGCTTTACTTTACTTTAATTTAATTATATACATGAAAATCCATAAACCAAAAATGCTTTTATCAGGACATACTTGAATGCTCCAACATTTAAGTACTTCAGCAGTGTTTCAATGGAATCTCTTACCAGGCTTACTGTATGAAACATTAAAAGTATACAGGCTTGTTCCTTAAATGTGTTGTTTAATTGTAGCTTCAAATTATAGTTTTCTAAATCACTGATTTTTTTTATAACAGTAGGTAGTTTGACTGTCTGCTGTCACATAAGTAGGCAGATCAGGAGGTGCAAACAAGGATTAATAATTTAAAAGAAGCTGGTTCATGTTATTTCAGCTGTAGTGAACTTTACCCTAGACTGCTGGTTCCTCACAAGTGTAAGATACTAGTTTTGATTTATCAATAATTGACAGGCTTGCCAAAAGGAAGAAAGTGTGTTAGAAAAGTGAATAGAATTATGGATTTAGTTTAGAAAAATATTAATGCATTCTGAGAGGTTTTTTTATAATTGTGTATGATTACTGATCATTCTTTTTGTGGTTGTCAGACATGCTGAGTGTGGAAGAAGAGACAGCTCAATTGACTGATTCAATTCGCATGGATCATTGTTATACCAATCTGTCACCATCGTCTGCACCAACAACTTCATCCACACCAAACCATCAGTATGGACCTGTTGGTAGTAGTGATACAGATACAAGTGACAACAGCTTTGAACAGGAACCTGTTCGCCAACCTGTCGTCATGTCATCTGTAACCATGCACCAGCCAGCACGTGCTAGAGGCCGAGTGAGTTTTCAGTATTCTCATTATGGGGCCTGCAGTTTTAAGAGCACATGAAATTTGTCTCTAAAATGATACTTCGCACTACATAATTTTTTCCTGAATGATTTTATTTTCATGTGTTCTTTGCATGATATATATGCAGACCATACTGAAAGTCATAAGCACATTGCATTACATACATTTTTTGCCAAATACAGTAGACAATAGAATAAAAGACAAGCAGCAATATTCATTCTTTTCTGTATCAGTAGAGGTCTCTCACATGTGCATCATTAGTCTTTTCCCAACGACTGTGACAAAATGTGGCATTATTTTGTATGTGTGCAGTGATTGAACTGTGAAGGTGAGCATACATCTATAATCATTGCTGAACTTGTTTTTCTGGGTCATTGTTCTTCACTATGAGATCTCACATCATCTATAGGCAACTTCATTCTGTGTATTCATAAAGGTGCCTGCATTGGCTCAAATATTGCTCGGTGGATGAAACACATTGGTTCTATACCATTGTTTTAACCATTATATTTTGTTACTTACTACAGCATAAATTTTTATTCTGATTTTATTAGTATCATGTGTTTTCACTACATTGCTATAGGGACGAGGACCAGGTCGTCCAAGGAAAGATGTAAGTGCTGTTCGATCCTCACAGTCATACCGAGGGTTATCAAGAGGGACTGGTCGTGGCAGTACTAGAACAACCAGGGGTGGCCAAATGGGAACTGTTGCACCTGGAATGGTCATGGTACAGCAGATCAAGTCAATAAACCCACCTTTGGCACCACCACCCTCAAGCCCCTCTTCTGCAAGTCTTGTTCCACTTATTAAGCCGTTAGTAATAACTGGCAGACATGGTCACCAGAACACTGCAGCATTAACTGGTACTACAGGTGGTCAAGTAACAGTACAAAAACAGGTATGTTTGAAAAGTAGGATTTGAGGCACATGTTGATCTCATGAAGATGGCTGTCATCTGGGTTGTACTGCTGTGTAGTGTGGTAGACTGGCACTACAACCCAGATGACATCTACCTAGGTGTGTTTGAGTTTATTTTTTTATAGTTACATATTTGAAGCCTTTTGAGTATGATTTATACTTAATGAAGTACAAAGAAAACACATTTATTCTTGATCACTGCACAGTTAAAATTTTAGTACACTTTTCTGTTATTAGCTGTGTAGCTTGAACCTCACATGATGATATTCTCAATGTCTAGGTTGTGGCTGTATCGGGTGAAAGTACTCGTTTAGTAACCCTAACAGGTGCAAAGTTGGGACAAGTCATGGCAGGAGGCCAGCAGAGATTGTTAATAGCAACTAACAGAACTTTTCCACAACAATTACAAAAGCAGAAGAGGCTTCAGACACAGAAACCAAAACAAAATCAGCAAATCCTAACAAGTGTGGGACAAGATGCTGGTGTTACAACTGGAGGTAATGAAGGAAGTCAGTTGCCAGCAGAACAGGATCTTGGTAATTATACAGAAGGATCATATTTTTAAATGTTTGTCTGTCTTAGTTGATAATTTACTTGTGTTTCAGGAGTAATAACTGTTAACTGACTTAAATGTATATTAGTAGAACCTGAAGGTTTGATACCACTAATTTCTTTTCCAAGAGGTCCTACCAAAATTCTGCTTAAGATTTTGTTTCTCCCATTTGAGCTACATATGCAGTTGTCATGGCCTTGATTTTACTATCCTGACAATGCTAGGGTAGCTGTATAAATAAATAAATTCTCTTTAAATATTTGTACTGAATTGTCCACATATTTCATTCCTCTCAGGTCCAAATATACAAGAGTTTATCAGTTTTTGGCCAATATTTACTGTCAACAGAGTCTTTTGAACGGAGGGGTCTTTCCAGTAGTTGAAGCTAATTTTTATATCACTGTGCTGTTAATGTAAATTCATGTGTTTTGGTTAGAATTTACGCAGTGTCAGTTATTCCCTAAAACAGAACTCTTTTCTTTAACTTTGATGATTTAGATACTCCTGTAAATTTTATACAAGTATTGCCATTCATTTTTGAATATTCCTCATATATACAAATATTTGTCCAGTTTTACATGTCTTTATTGTCTGAATTTTCATATATACATGTATATATAAGTGTATAAATATAATAATAGTTTACACATGAACTTAAGCCAGAAGTGATAGTTTGCTAAATTGCAGATAACATGAAAAGTTGCAGTCACACTTTGTTATTCTTGGACTTCAAACACTTTATACTGACCCAGGCAGAATTTTGGGAATGAAAGTTATTATTTTAGTAGAATAGTTCTCTGCAAGCTAGTGATCTATCAATGCAGAAATGTTTTAACCAGCAAATTAACTGTCTGATATTAACTGGGAAGTGCAACAAGAAAAACATCTTGGAACATGTTTTGAGTTAATTTAATCAAATTTACATTACAATGTATATTTATTTTCATGTTGATGCCTTTCTCTGTACTGTGACCTCATTCTATCAAAGTTCTGTTTTTTTCTGTGCAGTTTATGTATGTGCTTTTATGATCTCTTGAATGATCTACATCTGTGTATTAAGAAAGCATATCTTGGTAATTGGTTATGTTGATCATCACCATCATCATTCAGCAAACTTTTTAGTAACATTGTTTTTTTGCTCTTTCAGTATCGTCAAATGTCATACCTGGGATGACAGTTGCACCTGGCCAGGCAAAGGTATTGGTAGCAAAAATGCCAACAATACCACCTCAACTACTGGGTGCACAGCCATCTACAGGGCTAACTGAGGCCTTGCAGGAGGATAAGTTGCAAGGTATGAAGAAATGTTACCAAATGGGGAATTGGACAGAGCAGTCACCGAAGTCACACTCATGGAGTTCAAATCTTAGCCTGGAAACTGACTGTCATGTTGGATTTTTTGTGGTTTTTGTTGGTTCATCCAGGCAAATATCAGGATAGTACCTTAAACTATACCATGATCACATCATTCCATATTCTTTCCAATTCATTATTCATTACTATATAGTCTGAGCTACTGACAGCTTTAATAAATAAACCATAAGTAAATAAATGCAATGAAAGTATAGAAATAAATATCATAATTTCCTATTGTACTAGATTAGACAGTGAAAACCAAGAGGATAATAGAGCCAGTCAAACTACCATTCAATCGGCTTTTAAACAAATGCAACAATGTCTATAAACAAATAAAACAATGTCAATAAACAAACAATGCCAAACGTAACAATGGCTATAAACAAATACAACAATGTCAATAAACAGACACAACAATGCCAGACACAATGTCTATAAACAAACACAACAATGCCCGATGCAACAATGTCAATAAAAAGACAACTAAACTGTTTATTGACACTGTTGTGCTGCTGTCACGGCAACATGTCACAATATTGCACTATATTGAGTACTGTTAGTCTAGTAGTGTCATATGAAGATGAAATTGATTTGTTACAGACATTTTTCTCATTTGCCATTATATTCTTATAACTTTCCTTTTGAGGTTATTATTGCAAGGCTGTGTTTTACAGATAATGAAGCTGATTTCACACATTTTCCTGGCCAAGATGAAGAAAATGAGGATTTAGATGCATCAGAGGATGACAGTGATGAAGATCTTGATGCTGACGATGAAGAGTATGTAGGTCCTGGTGGAGGAGCAGGCCGACGACGTGGTAGATTTGGGACCAGATATAGAGGTGCTAGTCGTCGGATGCCAAGGGGAGCTCGCTTTAGGGGCAGTGGTCGTTTGTGGGATCGTGGAACTGGTCATGGTCTCAGCAAGGTGGGAGTTAAAAGAAGGGGAGGTCGTGGCCGTGGAGGGCATGGTCGGCCAGAGGACGTTGAACGTGCTCAGCGTTTAGAGGCGGAAATGGCTGCGGCACTTGCTGCCATGGATCAATCTCCAGACAGGGATTTAATATTAAAATCTGTTGGAAATGAGGGAGTTACAATAGACAGGGCGGATGGTTCAACAGTTGTAGAGAAACAGGAAGGACTACTGGAAACTTCAGATTCAGAAGTAGGTTCCAGGAAAAAGGCTGTGAAAGGTAATTTAAAGAAAAAACTGACTTTGAACAAAGATGTAGAAGGAAAAGTGAATGAAATGACAGAGACTAAAATGTCCTCTGAGAAGCCTGTTACTCCAACAGGGTCAGAAAAGAAAACACCATTGAAGAGTCCAACAAGGAAACATTCTACTGATGTACCTCAGCTGCCATCTACAACCCCACCATCAACTCCCACAAATACAGAAGCTTCCAAAGTTGATGGTAGAAAAAATTATCCGAAGCGTGAAAATCGTAAACCACCAGCCCACCTAGCAGAAGCTCTTGGACCTGCATTATTTTCCACACCAGACATCATACGTAGGGTTAGCACTGGAAATGAACAGAAGACTACTACACCTCCAGAAATACTTGCTGCTGAAACAAAGAAAGATGCAAATAATGCATCAACCCCAAGTGATGTGTCAGGACTTAATAAGACACCCTCTGTCCAAGAGGAAGGTATGTTTTTTTCTATTTATACTGCATTTACTTGTATACAACACACACCCAAATTTTTGACACAGAAGAAAGGAGCCACATCCTTCCCATCTTTAAACATATGTTCCATGTATTACATACACCCTAATTTTAAGAATTGATAATTAAAAAAACTGTTATATATGAGTGAAAATGGTAGTTTGAATTCAAATTTGGCAGATGAATTTTTGTGTTTACATTTGAAGTCAGACTGCTGTGGTATTATACGAGGCTCGTCCACAAAGTAAGTTTCCCTGGGGCCGTTTACAGAAACAAAACACAATTTCATGGAAATATTTATTGCAACAGATAGAGCAAGTGTCCAGCTATT